AAATAGCAACGGATCGCAAAGACACTGTAGTGGTCACATGGGACCATGGCCCAGCTGGATTATAAGAATTCACAAGAATGACAGTTCAAGGAGTCTCATCTGATCCAGCTGAAGATGCTGTCACAAGCAATTGAGACTCCCATCAATATCCAGACAGTGACCAGCAACTCTGAGGTTTACTTTCCCATGTGAACAATACCCTATGCAAAAGATCCCAATAAACTAAATGTGGAAGTTTGGGGGGGAGGGGCGCTATATTTTTGTTTTGTTTTTTTAAATAAGTAGTCTGTGAACATCTGTGCAACATACAGTACCAAGCACCACTTTTCATTCAGTTATGCTAAGGCTCTGCAACATAATAAGAATATGATACATCTGCTAGTGCTCAAGTAAAATGAGAGCTGTATTTGTTACTAATGTGAAACAGACTATATTAGCTATATTTCTGCATAGGAATAAGATGTTTAAGTTCAAAAATGCTTGAATTAACTGAGAAACAGGAAATATCTTGAGGCATCAGTGCCTCTAGAAATGTGATCACTCAGCTGAAGAACAACTGGTCTGTGAGCAGATGTAGTATGAAGTCAGCATTAATTAATTCAATTATAGTATTACAAGCAAGTAAGCCACACAACAACAAAATAAATCTAGCTGAGAAAATTCACTTTAAAAAGCCAGTTTCTGCATGTTCAACATACAGAACAGTGAAACTTATGGCAGGGTAACATTATAGTAATGCTACATTTATTTCCCCTTGAGTACAAAACTCCATGTTGTGGAAATTGACTTTTAAAACTATGCTGGGTAGGAACTGTATGTGCTTATATAGCAGATATACAAGATATATTATCACTTAATATGTTCTTAGGTGAGCTAAGGAAACAAAAGTGTGCAGGTTGTATTAGACATGAAATCTGACCTCAGATTAAATACAGTACATGCAAAGTTATAAAAAAAAGATATTTGACACTATAATCTCTTTAACAACAGACCCACACCACATTTAGTAGGTGATAAGGCACACTCACATAAGTGTCTCTAAAAACAATTGACATACTCTTTTCCAAATGTTTCCTGATAAATGAGACGTGACACAGTGGATAGAAGTTTCATTCAAGATTTTCAAGCTACAGTGGTTAAACAATACACAATATATATCTGAAATTTTTAAGGGAAGAAATATGACTTCATCTAAATACCGTACGTTACAGCGGAAGCACTAGCACACTACTTAAGTACATAAACAACATTTTTTCATGTATACAATTTATGCAGTCAGTCAAATTTTCAGCAAGTACTACTACAGACAAGCCCTTGAGACTGTTCATCCTTAGCAGTTTTTCCACAGGGAGCCCTTTAACATGATATGAAAAGGGATAACAACAGAATACTTACATATACATGTACAGACATATACATACATATACATTTACAGAAGTATGACTTCTTAAATGGTTAGTTGAAAGCATCCTGCAAAGTGGAAGTAAAATGAATGACTATTGGACTATACACATCAGGAAAACTCTGGTTATGTATAACTAACCTTTTTAAGCCCAGAAATAAGGGATTCTTTCTAAACATCTCATGCATAATATACGCAGGTTGGTCTGAGTGCTGCTTATATGAACGAGCACCTGAGGGCAGCCCTGCTGACCACAGCATAATTTCTAGATGCATCAGTAGCAGAGCTGTACTTTGTGAATATTAGAAAGGAGTTTTGCAGTTCTGAGAAGCAGAAACTCTGATAGTGAGGTCACTGACGAAGCTTTGACTCTAGTGGAATACACTTTGATCACTGGAGGAGGCTGCTTCATTTTCAGTGACTCATTAGAGGTGCAGCCTCTGTTCTTCACTTGATATGGTGGTCTTTATAATGATAGCTTTTCCTTTGGATCTTTCCACAGAAATAAGATCATAGGGTGATCTGAAAGCCCTTGTTATAGGCATATGAAATCCACAGAGACACTTCTGATGTCCATGTTGTTTAACCAATTCGTTAGAGCATTGGAGTTCAAGTTACTTCCCCAGTTTAAATGGCATCAGGTCAGAACTCTGCAAACAGGCTGAAGATGAGTTTTTTCATCCCCACACAAGATAGGATTTTTTTCCCCCTCCCCTTCCATAAGGATGATTGACCTGGATCTTCCACTGTCTGCTATCTGAGGAGATGAACACTAAGAACGCTATCTAAAGGAAAGTATGCAACAGTGTGCTTATACTGATATATCCCCCACAGGCAAAGCCCAACATGAGGCTTACAAAACAAACTGTCTGGGGACACACAGTTGCCTCTCTGGACCACAGGGCAGCCCTAAGTAGACAATAAGGATAGGCCATGCTCTTAAAACAACCTTGAGGGAGACTGCAGCCAAAAAACACGCACACTGACCTCAGCAAATCTCAGGGACTAAGCTCACAGGTTTAAACGTAACTTCTTGATGTTCTTAGGTGAGCCAAGGAATCAAAAGTGCACAGGTTGTATTAGAAGAAATAAGTTGTTCTGCTGAAATGCCCTTCAGCTAGCCTGTTTATCAAAGAAAGAGATTACCCAGTCTCTTAGAGGTAGATTGTTAGTATGGGTAAAGCTCTCCCGGCCACAGGATATTTGCAGCAGCAGAATACTAAATTGTAAGTAGTTTCACACCACCAAGAAGCCTTTTGCCTGTGAAACGACCCTTCAGTCATCCCCCTGAAGGGCCAAAAGGATCTCTGCCAAGGTATGAAGATACTGGCCCCCAAAGTTTAAAGATAGAACTTCATCCTCTCTTCCTTTCGTGTACTAAGCAAGGGCAAGAATCAACCGTAGAAGTCCCAGCATCCACAGAAAATACACTTCCGTTAGGAGAAAATCCTGTAACACCAGTCTCTGAAAAGGAGTTTGAAAGCAACAGAGCAACGAACTGTATGAAACAGCTCCAAATCATAACATCTAGACCCATTCATCAATGGCAGGAGATCTCCAAGACAGAAGAAAGCAAACTAAAATTAGCTACTGAGTAGAAATGAGGATAGGGTTGAGGGGGCACGAAATCAATTTCAGAAAATATGAACTATCAGAAGAGGTTACTGTAGTATCATTCATAGGAAGAGAGACCTGAGATAGTATCAATTTTTAAATAATATTCAGCAGCACATACAGCTCTGAAAAGAAGGTGTGATGCCACTTTCATCGCTTCAGTCTAAAAGTTAGCCAAGTACCCTGGGCATGCCATGTACTCTCTCTAGAGAGAGAAGATGTCTTGTTAGTGCAACATGCTCGGTGTATGAAAGAACACACCAGCAGAAGAGAGTTTGTAATACAGAAGAAAGCTGGCTATTACACTAGTTCCAGTGAGCTGAATTCATCTGCAACGCTACTATATTCAACAGCCTGAATCTCTGCATCACAAAAATAGCCTCTTTCAGTTGTATAGTGGCTGAATGTCACTTCCAGTAAAGGATAGAAGAATAAGGACAGTAAGTTCAGAAAAGACAAGTTTTTCTGCATGAATTAATCTTTCATGTTCTCCCATGGCAGAGGTGGGGATGGGTGGGTTGGGGGAAAAAGGGAAACGGAAAGCAAACAATGCTACTGAGGGCTTTGGCAAAACATGCAAGATAATTGTGTTGGAACAAACCAGGGAATGTGCTCCTACTCTCAGAAAACAGGCCAGTCCACTTCAGAGTTCCTTGTATGTTTGCTTTGGGCATAGCGCAAAAACCTTCATTGCCAGAATCAAGCATGATGACAACTACAACAAATCTCAAATCCAAATGACACTCAGAAAGAATGATTAATGAGATCTCCCCATCAGCTATAGGCTTTAGTTCTTTGCAAGTAGTAAGTGCCAAGAGGCCAAGAGTCACCGAGATGAGACTCTCTTCCTTGAGAGAATTGTTAACAACATCATGATGCTAAGGTTCCAGCAGAAGATAGATGCAGCAACTCTGCACAGGTATCCGTGTTTTACTATCACCTTACATTTTAGGCGAAACAATTCAGTTCCGACAATAAGCGTGGAAGCTTGGAGTATCAGCAACATGTAAACCTTGATATTAGCCGTTATGTGCCAAGAAACATCAAGAGTGTTATGAGACTTACTGGTCTGAAGTTTCCCGACTTCCTATGGAAATGTCTTTTAAGAAAATTGGCTAGAGACTTCCCAATCTTCTGGTATCATAGAATTTAAAACTAGACCTTTTATGTCATAAAAGGCCTGTTAGCTTTGAGAATCTTATCTTTAAGTAGAACAATATCCAAACTGTTATGTCCTGAACTAGACAACTACCTTAATAAAAACACTAGAGCACTGGACTAATAAGATAATTCATTTTAAGTAGACAATAATTACCTCATTTCAGTGATTATATTTAATGTCTTCCTTTTTCACCATTTAGTAATAATTACATACTGGCTATTGATATCTTTGCAATTATATGGTCCAAAAAGAACATAGGCGTTTAACACAGAGGCCAGACCCAATTTCCAGGAATCAAGTATTATTTTTAATGCCATCTTAATTAAGCTACTTGGAACACAGTTCTTCGCACCACCCTCTAAGACAACCAGTAAAATCACCATCACAAACAGCCACCTAGAAAATGGACCATTACCTGAGTTCATTTGCAATACTTTGTTAAAAACATAATATCGTAACATGAATTCTGTACTAAGGTCAAGTATGAAAAACCTAAGTAATTAGAGGAAAAAAATTAAAATGGTATTGGAAAGAAAAACTGAGGCATCAAAACAGGAAAGTTTCTGAAGAATCTTTCTTTCTCCACTAACAGTCATGTTTTTAATATAAAGAACTACTTTGTGTACAGAAGTCACCTTGTGTACACAAGGTCATCTTTCACTGCAGTTTGTAAAATAAAAAAAAAATTACTCTTAAAAAAATTATGTTTCTGACCGACGTTTATTTCTCATAGACACATGTCTGCATCACTCTTACTCTCCAATGATAAATAATTTACATGTTTCAACTTTTTTTTGGTGTACTCTACAGAGATTTACTTACAGACTTTGAAGCAGTGCTAATATATTGCATCACCATTTCTTTTTTGGTATTATAATCCTTTTCTCTTAGTGGTGCCTTCTTGTCTTCATTTAAATTCATATCCTCCTGATAAGGGGGGGAAAAAAGAAAGAAATTTTAAATGTCTCCCAACAATACAGTTTAAGGGACATTAAGCTAGCTAGCTTTTCAGAACAAAGACTTCGAAACACAGAACTACTAATGAAAAATTTCTACTTCTAATGAAAAATAAAGCACAAAAATACAAACATAAGCAACTGAAAGCTATTATATAAACAACTTTTAAAGTTAGATGCAAATGCAAACTATTAAAAACACACATACAGTTCCCCCTCTTTACAACATACCAGAGGAAAAAAAATACTTAATACTTCCTAGATATCATATAAATTTACCCAAGCCTGTCTCTTCTGAAACATTTTTAATGATATATCCATTTGCTCCAAGTCTTTCTTCAAGTTTACAAACACTTAATCATGGACAATGGAATCAGCTTTGCCTTGAGAGCAGTTCATAGAATAATGTTCACCTTTACAATATGCAAGGCCCAGCTTCTTCACAGAATCACAAAGTGATTGAGGTTGGAAGGGACCTCTGGAGATCACCTACTCCAACACACCTGCTCAAGCAGGGTCACTATGTCCAGATGGCTTTTGAATATCTCCAGCAACGGAGACTCTACAACCTCTCTGGGCAACCTCGTCCAGGGCTCAGTCACTCACACAGGAAAGAAGTTTTTCCTCATGTTCAGATGAGACTTCCTGTGTTTCAGTTTGTGCCTGTGGCCTCTCATCCTGTCGCTGGGCACCACGGAGAAGAGTCTGGCCCCATCTTTTTGACATCCTCCCTTCAGACACTCATGCACATTGATAAGATCCCCCTTCAGTCTTCTCTTCTCCAGGCTAAACAGCTCTCTCAGCCTTTCTTCATAAGAGAGATGCTCCAGTCCCTTAACCATCTTTGTGACCCTTTACTGGACTTACTCCAGTAGCTCGAAGTTTTTCTTTACCGCGGAGCCCAGAACTGGAGATAGGACTCCAGCTGAGGCCTCAGCAGGGCTGAGGTGAGGCGCAGGATCACCTCCCTCGACCTACTGGCAACATTTCCTAATGCAGCCCAGGACACCATTGGTCGTCTTGTCCACAGGGGCACATTGCTGACTCATGGTCAACCTGTTGTCCACCAGGACCCCCAGGTCCTTCTCTATAGGAAATCTTGATGATTTGATCATTAAATGAACACCTTTAACTGCTGTTAAAACTACCGTCACAATGAATTCATGCCAACATAAACACAGAGGTTGATAAGAACAGAAACAAAATCACATTCAAGGCACACAGCAGCTGTTCATTGACATTTCTGATGCAATGACTCCTAGTGTTCCAACCTAGAAATACTATGATCATTAATCAGTTACATATCTAAGAGAAATGGCATTTCCTATTATGCTGGAGGTAAGAAAAGCTTTAAAAAAAATTATATATATATATACACACACACACACACACCTTGCTTGAACACTTTTTCCCTTCATGTTGATAGCCACATCTATTCTGTATAATATGAGCTATGTAAATATCACCAGTTCATCTTTTTTTCTTCCTATTACTATCTTTCCTGTCTAATTACTTGATATAAGAACTCCCTCAAGATTTAATTTAATGTTCTCAATTTTTTTTTTTTATTTTCTTGTCTATCTGGACCTGTGAGAAACCGCTAAGCGCTGACATTATGCTTTTGACAAACATAATCCATGAATCAACTTGACAACTGCCTCATGTAGTACTTGCATATTGCCTCTATTAAACCAAATGTTGAGGGTGTTACCTTCACAAGGAATATTGCATTTTCTAGTTTCTTGGAAAAAAACACATAACATCGTAATTTAAAAATGGGAAATAGGGCATCATCCAAAAACATTGCACTGACACTCAATATGCAATGCTGGAAAAATTTAAGATTAAACACACAAGCACCACTGGGATCATAGACTGCAAGTAAAGAGAGCACTTCCTTCCAAAACACACAAAAAAAGAGCAGGGAGAAAATCTTTTCCTTTCACAGACACACACTAACCATTTGGGAAAAAAAAAACTGAAAGTCATTTAAAGCTACTCTATCAAAACTTTCAAAAAATACTACTGCTTTAAGATGAGAAATCAACAACAAAAGAGCATCTTTAGCATTTCAAAATCTAAGATTTAGAGTACTCATCTGCTCAACATAAGGGCACATAAATTCCTGTGTTAAAAGTTCTTTTAAATGGTAATGTCAAAACCTAAAAATTTAAACCAGTTAGATAATAAATCAATCTAAGTATTTTTTTGTGTACTAGTCAAACTTTTAGCACTTATTTATGTAAGTAGTGAGGACTTTTACAATGCATCTGTGACTTCAGAAATGAACGTGTACTTTTGAATGTAAAGCTTTAGAGGCTACTAAAAGCATGCAAAGAAAGTACAGATTAAGAAGTTGTTTGCAATTTATTTCTTTAAATAACTTCTTTCCAAAGCCAAAGATTCTTGTGAAGTCAGAAAAGTACTACAAATTTAAATTCTCAAAAACTGCTTGAATGCCTTTGTGCCATACCTAACACATTTCTTTAGCTTAAAAAAAAAAAAACACACACCTAAATCAAGCCAGACTGTCAAAAATAGCAAAACAGTAGGAATCTCTTGTCTTCTACTTGTTATCTCTTATTACAATTAATTACCTTTCTGCATTAAATGCAAGACAACTTATGAATGACAACTCCTATTGCCAGGCAACACATCCATTATGATTGTACATCACAAACAATACTATAAATTACTATTGCCACCTTTTATAACAAACTAGTCCAGTTTAACATTATCAGACTTGTTTTTTTTTTCCTTCCACAAGTTCCCATAACCATCTTTGGAGCTCTGTGCCTCAAGATGCCTTTCCATAACCACATAATTGCATGGCAATACTTCAAAAGAAGATATACCTTACATGCATATTTAATAAGATTAACTTTCTTAAGATTAATATTTATGTGGTGTTTTTAAAACCCAGAGACACTCTTCCCTTAAATATTAACCAATTGATTATTTTTGTTTTGGTAAAACTAGCCCTAAAACTTGATTACAGCACTCAGACTGTTCCAAGAAAAAAAATGTCATTTAGTTTGATCAAAACTGCAAACTAAAGGCTAGAATAGTTAGCTATATAATCCATTGTGACTAAACGTGACTAAACTAGCTTAATTCTGGTCCATTTAAACGTGGATAACCTGAAGAATCCTTTCTGTGCCACATAATATGGATAAAATAGAAATTACTTTATCAAAGAAAAGTCAGTAAAGTGCTTTGTTATTAAAGAAACTAGGAAAGCATTCATTTTAAAGTAATGATTATGTCCTGCATAACACAGTTCTGTAAAAAGTTATAAAATTGGAATGAACTACTTCAGGAGCCAAAGACTTTAATATTTCTGTTTGCCTAGGCATGTGGTAGTGAGGTTCTGAGGATTTATTGAAACTTTCAGGTTTTTTAATGGCATAATCTCAACACTGCACACTATCCTATAAGAGAAACTCCGTGGGATGCTAAAGAAACATAACATATGCTGAGGGATGGGGGGGGGGGGGAGAGAGGGAGATAGAGGGGGGAGGCAACTTGCGTGAAGTTCTATAAGAAACAACCCCCTCCCCCACCAAAAAGCTCTCTCCTATTTCCTAACATCTGAGCACTTCCTAACATAAGTAAAACATCCTAGACATCAAGGTATACCAAGCAGAAGGGTGGAGGGAAGAATACAAGAGTAACAAATAGAAATACAAAAGTTGACAACATAGTAAGTCATTCCTTCTTTTCTCTATTATTATCATAAAAATCCTGAATTTTACATTTATACATACCAAGTCTACATACCAAGTCTTCAAGTACAGCAAAACCTCCCTCAGAAATTAAATAGGCAACAGTAACCAACCCTTATCACTACTCTGATCTCACACAGAAATACTATGCACCAATAGTAAAATACTTTCGAAAAAAGTAGTCTACAATCGATCTCTCAATCATAGCTTTCAGCAGTTCTACAAAAACATCTTCAAAACTAAATTAGCATTACTGAGAATCAGGAATTGTAAGTTTAATAAAAGTACTTTTCTCATAACTCATTTAATTTCCTCCCACATGCCACTCCCTACTAGCCCCTTTATGTTTCACAGGCAACAGTTACTTGCTGCTTGCTATGAGGCAGAAAAAGAAAAAAATCTAGGTGTCACTTCCCTTGCTAACATCTGTCTTGTGCTCTTTAGCTTGCAGTCACCCTTTTCTCAAGGCCAGTCCACATTTAGTTTGCAATTGCCCAAAATGTCACCGTTATCATCATGCCAAAAAACTGAGTCTACTGAGGCAGGACCAGCGCCACACGATGATTCAGGGAAGCGACCGCTCTTTCACAGGGCGGCTACTGCAGCTAAGGAAGGAGATGCTCACTCAGTCTCAAAGTCAAGAGACTGCAAATGTTTCAGAGCCCTTTTAAAACCCTGCTTTCGAGGAAGGATCCTTGAATGTTTTTGAAGAATAAGTGAAATGAATATAACACCAGAACAAAACCCTGCTGTCAGGTTCAAGGGCATGTAACTCCTTTATGAATTTTCCAAATCTTCTTAAAAGCAAGCAGGTTTCCCAGTTTCATTGTTCCCCTCAAAAACTGTGGCATAACTGCATTTCTAATATCAGAAACCTTTAGTTTCCGCTACAAGTGTATTTGCAGCGAAAAATCCTCAAAATAGTCCAGAGGCTTTATGCCTTGAGGAAGCACCTTAGAAAATACACCATTAAAATAATAATGATAAAAATAGTGATAATAATGCAGGTAAAGGTCCAAACACATGCATGAAAGCAAGCTTCTGTCCTTCAATTAGCCATGTTGCAGTCCTTGAAGAAATCAGTAGTAAGACTCTTACCATCATTTTTTCAAACAGAGCTATGATTTCTCTTTCTGACAAGGGTTTGGGAACAAAATCCTCCACATCCGTAGGTGATGACGACCAATCGGTAGAGTAAGATTGTTTCATGTGTGGCAGAGCAGGTCTCTCCTTTTTAGTTCCTGGAATTCTTATACTAGCAAACCTATCCAACTGAAAACAGAAAAGGTATAATATAATCAGATACCATTTCCATTCTTTGTAGACCTAATTAATACAGACATTTTTGGAAGCTTAACATTCTTATTTTTCCTTGAGTAACTTACCTTATATTTAACTACATGGTTTCAAAGGGTTTTCCTAAGGACACCCATAATAGTTAGTTGCCTTAGTACTTTAGTTAACAGACCAGAATCCCCTCATGCTTTGGAGAAATCATGCAGAACATGAGAATTTTACGGAAGTTTTGGAACAAAGGTATCTAGAAAACAGACAAATGCTTTGAAGACTTCTCCCTAGTCATTACATACAACATATGTAAAAGCATAGTTTTTAAAGTTTTTTCATTGGTCTGCAACTGCTGTACTCCTGATGTTGTAATGAAATACACAGATATGCAAAAAAAATTGTTTTTTTAAAAGATGAGTTACCATAACTAAGACATTTTATTTTTTTGTCTGTACTACATTATCTAACCCTTAGGTTTTATTTAAAAATTTGTTTAGGAAAAGCACAAAAAACCCTTCAACTCCTTTGTTAAGGTCATGTAGGATACATTTATACTTTTATGAATAATCCTTAGGACTTACCATCCATATGAAGCAAATACCCCAGCTTTACACTTTGAAAAGCCAAAGAAGCTTCTTTGGAAAGTTTTCCTTGCTCCCCCACCCCCACACTCCCTTCTTTCTGGTTTGATATTTAACTGACTTTTTAAATAAAGACTTATTCGTAATTATCTGCATTGTCAGAGCACCTAAGGTTTTAATGTTAATCAATGGCAAGTCATCATAGTATCTGTGGTGTTTAGTGAGCAAAACAGGGTTTAGCTGTCCCACTCTAGTAAAAACACAGCAGGAACTGGCTATTAGACATCAATGCGAGGAAGGGGAGCTTTAATTCTCCCTATTCAAAACTGAAAAGGGAAGAATTAGTTTGCTAGCTGTTCACACACAGATGGTTGTAGAACTTGCCAAAACAGAAAAGAAAAAGCGTAAAAATAAAAATAAGACAGCATGGAAGACAGAGCCCCTCAGCATCACCTCAAACCTGAACAGGGCAACAAGAAAAAAAAAAAAGGAAAAAAAAAAAATCACACCCTAACAGAAAAGTTACACAGGCAAGACCTAGGATAAAAGAAAACGCAACAAAACCAAAGGAAGGATAACATCATTGGAAGAGAAGTGAGAGTCACCTCTGGCAAAGAATATCTCACATCTTCACCAAACAGCTACTTTACTTCCAGTCTTTAAAATCAGGAGCCTATGGCAAGCATGAAGGGGATGAAACCTGGTTGTAAACTGAAGTGACCAGACTAGAATCTTAAGAAGATATATTAAGAGAGATTCTTCTTAAACAACAGATTTCAGTGAGCACTGACAACAGGACAGTATACCTGTTCCAAGATGTGCCTTAGATAGTGGCTTCTTCCCCATGCCCCGTCCCCCCAGGACCTTTTCCCTGTCAAGCACACAACCTAAGAAACAAACCATGATATCTGAAGACTCTTAGTGCACAGAGAAAGTTCTGGAGCAGGGGTAGGGGGAAAACACACTTTGGGCAAAATAGATTTCAGCACATGGCTCAGTCAGCACAGAACTGATCAAGTTAGCTCTAAAAGATGTGTACCCTATGTCCCTAACCCATCTCCCCTCAAAATTTCAGCTTCTTCCTTGCAACCCTTGCTCCTCAAGTCTCCCCTCTTTCCCCTGCACATCCCTTACACCTTTGATTACCCTTATTTTCCTCCCAAGTTCCCAACCCATTATAGAGGCAAGACGTAGTGCACATACATTGAGTAACTAGCCATGTTTTACCACAGAAACAAAGACACTACACAGCAGCTTTCCTTTTAGCAAAAGGAGTAGTTTGAGTCTTCTCTCAGAAGCCAGCCATTGGCTGGCTTCAATGGTTTTAAAACAGTAATTATATCATCTTTCATAGGACGCTAGGATAACTAGTAGGAAATAACCGTAAGTTATTTCTATTTCAAAGTCAATAGGAAATAGGAAACATTTTGTATTTACATCACTAGAAGATTGTTATTGAAAAGGAGGGGGTCAGTTACATTCAGTCTGTATGCATATTAAGAAAAATTAACATACAAAACTGAAAGAAAAGTTGAAAACAGCTACAACCTCCAAATAACTTGCAGAACCTATTGATCAGAGTCCTACTGCAGATAGGCAGTTAAAATGCAATAAATATATTTCCCATAGACAGATAAACATTTGTGTAACATATCTGTATTATATAAACACTTTTCTACTGTAAGGGTGGCTGAATACTGGAACAGGTTGCCCAGAGAAGCTGGAGCATCTCCATCTTTGGAGATATTCAAAACCCAACTGAACATGGTCCTGTGCAACTAGCTGTAGCTGACCCTGCTGGAGCAGGGAGGGTTAAAATAGATGATCTCTGAAGGTCCCTTCCAAACCTAGTTACTGTGTGATATAAAGTTAGACTGAATATTCCGGCATTTTTCTGAAAGTAGAACTTTTCTGTTGAGCTAAGGCAGTTGCCACGAAAAAGGCAATGCTTAAAAATTAGAGAAATTACTGTTGTTTTCATTTTTCTCTTTATGGAGACCTCTGCTACACATATACTGATTGGATAACTAGTATTACTAGTATCTGGGTCATATCATTTACAGAAGAAATGCTGTTTATCATCACATCCAAAAGCCACAAAGAATAGGGTCAATACTGTCTAGATATAGCATCAACAAGTAAAAACAGTGTTGCTTAGACAAAATACACCTACACGAAAGCCTCGATCAAGACAGTTAGAATTAAAATAGAATGAAATAATTGACAAGCAGCGGCTTCAAAGAGCAACTTTTCGTTAGACATCTTTCATTAGTGTCTTGATTCTAAAAGAAATTAAAAGCTCAGAAACAGCAGTATGTAGCAGGCCTGCAACTAAGTTAGATGCATAAGTGCTCTCAGATTTGGCTTCAGTAGAGGAGAGAGTAGGGGGAATGGGTTGGGGAGGGGAAGGAAGCAAGTTTTCTACACATGGCTGATGAAGAGTCACCTAGGTATATTTGTTTCTTCCATATTTCAGAATGGAACAAGAGTTAGAGCCATATTCTTGGGACAAAAAGCATATAAGATTTACATTTCATTAGCACATTTTGGTCAAGTATTAATTGTCATATCCTAAATTTACAATCACTTAGAACAAAAGCATGAAATGAGAACTTCCACCTCCTATTCCTTCTCATTCTCCTTCATTACCAGATGAGCATCACCAGCAATATGTTTTATAATATTATAAAGAGCACTCAGTTTATATATAGTACAAACATACAAGATTTATGAACAGTAGGCCAATTTTTGGCTCAGTCAAGCAAATCAAACCATCTACTCTGAAGGCATAGCACGGGACAGTTAGAGACCTTCTCTTGCACATCCCATGGTTCTCATGCTTGAATAACTGATAGTTCTTATTATTTAGCAGTGTACAAGCAGTTAGGCTGCTCTCTCCCTTCACATGGAAGCAGCAGAAGCAGTTCCTTTAAGACAAAAGGGAGCAGGCTGGACACCCTGATCTGTGACAAAACGCTCCACGCAATCCCAGAACTACTCTTCCACTAGAAACAGTGGCACAGAGCCAATCTATCTTTGATAAGTAATATTTTGCTTCTTTGGCTTGTTGACATTTTCGCTTATATCACTAGCATATATAGTAGATGTTTTGCAACATCACAGATTAGGCCATACCATTCGTTTTCACCAAATCCCATACCATTTGTCCTAGAGGAGAGAAGCACACTCCTGGAACCCATTTGATCATGTTTACCGTATTTTAAAAATCAGGCTAACCAATGTGGAACAGCTAGAATGAGCTTGATAAAAAAAAATAAAAAAAACAAAAAACAAAAAAGCCACACACAACACCACAAGCACCACTACAGTTCAAAGAAGGTTTGACCTTGCATCTATTAAGATGACTGCCCTGCATTTTCCAATAAATATATACAGACCCATACAGAAATAGTTCTTTCACACTTTAATTTTTTTTTCCTCTTCAGAAAGTTATTAGTCTATGTAGATTGAGCTTAAAAGTTAACTGGGGGTGGGGAGGAAAGTGTTTCTGTATGATCTTGATAAGAAGTATTTCCACAGTGAAGTTTCTTTGAATTTCTCTAAACTAAGATCTATTTTGATGCACTGATAGAAGATTATCTGAAGTTAAAAGTTCAAAGGCAGTAAGGAGTGAGACTAAAAGTGACTACAATTAAATGCTTCTGACCACTCAAAGGAAGAAGCTAGAACTGTTTCTAATACAGTATAAAAAATATCAGAAAATCTGTGACAAGCTCAGAAATTCAAACAGCACTTCTTATCATCACAGCACTTCAGTGTTACTGAAAATGAGGAAAGTATTTCATGTACATATTTTCAAAAGAAGCAACAATAAAGTAATTAAATCCTCAGCACTAAAATAATCAGAAATATTCTTTAAAAGCTATTCACTGCTCTTCTGCTCTTAAGTTACAAAAATAAGCTGGCCATATAACCATAGAATAACTCGCATAGCGGTCTGAGTTAAAAGATAACATGATATTGAAAAAAAGAAATGCAAATAACTTAAAAAATAGAATATGAGCATTTCAAGTTAAAAAAAGAGTTGAAGGTAGTAAGGTACGGATAGTTCTACAAGTAATGCATATCCATCACTATTTTTTTCTTCTTCTTCTAAAGAAGAAACACCCCACTGAGATAGGACTAAGTCTTTTCTGGTCAAACAATAGGTTTGGGTTCAATTTTTTTTCCCCCCCCTCCTTTCTCCATGCCTCACCTCATCTTCCCCCACCACTCTCCCTTTTTTGAGGTGGGGGAAAAGAGAAAAAAGGAGAAAGAAGAGTAGAACGATCTAGGACAGTAGAGAAGATTTTAAAGATGCAATTAACAGTTCTCTCTCCTAAGCCTAGACCCCCAACATAAAAGGCATG